TAATTATTTATATATTAAATTCATTCGTGTATTCGGAGCATATCTTGTGCTGACTGGGGCAAAAGGAAAATAGGGAAACTCCACCACACCCCCTTCCCCCCCCCCAAAAAAAAATCCCCCAAAACAACAGATTTTAATTAATTTTTTTTTAAAAATAATAAAATCCTCCACTAGATTGTAAACCCTCCCCATACGTACGCAACCACGCAATTTAAAGAATAAAAAAAAATTAAGGTTTCGAAATGCTTTCGAATGCAAATCCGTTCAACGCCAGGGATATTAATTCGTAGAAATATAATATATTAAAAGTGCTAGTTTTTATTAATATGAAACGAATAAATTCATGGATGTAATTACCTTGAGATGTCCGATGTTCCAGGTATAAATTACTTACGCTTCTGCGATGTTTGAAATAAGATGGGACCCATTTATCGTTTAGTAAATTTTTCAAGACTTGAAATGTATTTACTGAAGATAGTACATTTAATGACACGCTAAAAAAAATATGAGTGTCTATCCCAAGAGGAAATAATATCCCACTGCAATTAAGATCAATCCAGGAGTCAAACTTATTTTGATACAGAAAAACAACTAGCACTGCCTATATATCATAGTATCAATCAACTAGCACTGCCTATATATCAATGTATCAATCAACTAGCACTGCCTATATATCATAGTATCAATCAACTAGCACTGCCTATATATCATAGTATCAATCAACTAGCACTGCCTATATATCATAGTATCAATCCACTAGCACGCCTATATATCATAGTATCAATCAACTAGCACTGCCTATATATCATAGTATCAATCAACTAGCACTGCCTATATATCATAGTATCAATCAACTAGCACTGCCTATATATCATAGTATCAATCAACTAGCACTGCCTATATATATCATAGTATCAATCAACTAGCACTGCCTATATATCATAGTATCAATCAACTAGCACTGCCTATATATATCATAGTATCAATCAACTAGCACTGCCTATATATATCATAGTATCAATCAACTAGCACTGCCTATATATATCATAGTGTCAATCAACTAGCACTGCCTATATATATCATAGTATCAGTTTAACTTGCATGTTTTCTTTGCTAACATAAAGAGCTCCCTTTAATCACGCACACGCTCGAGACTGGCACATCCGCGGTGTGGTGAGATGGGGGACGTGACGTGCTCCCACGTGACATCTGGGTGGGTACCGTGGGGGATCGCAGGTACAAGTCAAATGACTCTTGCGTATCACAGATTGATGGGATATGGGCAGTACGTTAGCGTACATACTTATAAAAATGTGATGATTGCTGGCAGGGTAGTGGTGGTTAGTAGGTGACAGGTAGACGTAAGATGATTGCTGACATGGAAGTGTTAGTGTTAAGAGACAGGTACAAGTTAGATTATGGCTGCTTTTATTTGAACTTGAACATTCAGTATTATGATTGTGCCATTTCTGGTTACTACATGCGATTGAGCGTAGTCACTTAGTCATGTAATCATGGAAGGATCGTTCCTATTGTAAGGTTTCTGTTAGGTTTTCGAATTAAGAAAACAGAAATTAAACTGTGAACTTATTCAAATATAGGTATTATTAATTTAAAATATGAATTCTAACTATTTAAACAAATAAAATTCTTTAGTTTTAGAACTTCCTGCACTTTGGAGTGCATTTTGACAACAAAAAAGGGGGATTAATAGTGGATTTTGACTACTTTTAGTGCTACTGTATTTTGTAGTTCATCAAGTAATAATGGATGATTTCAAATCCCATCGATGCAGTTCTGTTACGTACTGTTATCAGTATGGAGAAATTAATCTCTTATTTAAGTATATGGCTCGTTCTACATCAGTACACAACAAAAAACGATACCATAAATTAAGTGCAATAAAAAGCAAACGATACTCAAACCAGGGCTAATTACAATTAATGATTTTATTATTTTTATTATAAATTACGAAATCAAAAATTAAAGCTCTTGACTTATAGAATAATGATTGGCTTGTACCGGTACTATGTTGAAGAAGATACGATGTTGTAAAAAGGTACAATGATGAAAAGTAATCTACACACAAACAGTAAACAAATCAAGACTCGTAGCAAAAGTAGCACAAGCTCAATATATCTCTCCTCTGATCCTTCTGTCACTCGTATATATATTATTATTTATAGCCGGTTTCATAGATACTTCTCGAACGGCTTACACATTGTATCCCTTTCTCGAAATTTCTACATAATGCTATAAAATTCTAATAACAATACAGACCATAGATTTTAGTTAGCTTTAAGCTTTTTAGTTAGGTCAAGGGAAAACTATTTTTAGTTAGACACACCCTAATAGCGATGCCGAACTTGGGGTCAGCTTAAGTTCATTTACCTGACAGATGCATGAAAGTAAAAGAGACGTCTCTATTAAGTTCATTAGGAACAAATTTGTCATTTCAAATGTCAGCACTTTGTAGGGAATTGGGAAAACTTAATTGAAGTCCGTGACGTCAGCTTTAAAAACTGAAAACAACAAGAAAGGCATGTAGAGCTTTAAGAATGGAAGATGTTGACTGTAAACATAGAAGATGTTGATTGTAAACATGGTAGATGTTGACTGTAAACATGGTAGATGTTGACTGTAAACATGGTAGATGTTGACTGTAAACATGGTAGATGTTGACTGTAAACATGGTAGATGTTGACTTTAAACAAGGTAGATGTTGACTGTAAACATAAAAAATGGAAGGCAAAATATTTTTTAAAATGAAGTTAGAGCTTTTAAGGAATTAATAAAAATAACCATTACAAACCATAAATATCCGCGATCGTCATAATATTATCCAATCAGACATCATACAATAAATTATACCGTAATCAAATTAAGCTCATTAATATTTAAAATAGTAGACACATTTTCATATCTCATATTTGAATATGAACAATCTTCTCCAAAATATAGGGTCATGTACATCAAATTGTTCCTATTGAAAATGGGAATAATGATGAGGGCGAACTCATGTGTCACTTTAAAATAATAATAATAATAATTCCCATAGCAAAGTGAAAATCTGATAGAAATGTACACTATTTACAATTATAATAGAGGCTTGAGTCTTGTTTGCATAGGAGGGTTTCTTTCAATACTATAATCTTTTTGCTAACTGTAGCATTCGTTTTTCATAGAAGTCCTACAATTAAGAAAGATGCGTGCTGCTTCAACAGCTATAGCCCACAAATAGCAAATATGATTTACACTATCACGTCGTTTGATAGGCTTTTAAATACCCCCCCCCCCAAACCAAAAAAACAAACAACAACAACAAAAGAACAAACAAACCGTGACGCTAGTTGCCATGTCGGGTAGGTCATTCCAATTATGGCATGTCAATTAAGGGGCACTGCCACCGACCCCCTGGTGTTACCCGGGGAACAATACCACCATGTAGGGGACCTGGAAGTGAGAGACAAGGGTCAAGGGCATGTAATCTGCGTTTGAAAGATCACAGCTGCATGGTACCTACCCAGTGCAGTTGAAAAAAACGCCAGGAAGAGGTCGTGATATAATGACATGTTGCCGTTAATGGATATGAGGTATGGGTGCATGGGCGCCCGCAGGGGGGCAAGGGGAGCACTTGCCCCCCTGGATTGATTGGATAAAAAAAAAATTAGGCAAAAATAGACAAAAAATGTATTAAAGTAAAGAGAAAATAAAGAGAAAGTAACTTAGCTGATGTCCTGTCCGTTCGTTCACCATACAAATGCGCTACAGTAAATTAAAACTAAGACTATATTAAAACATTACAAAATTTTTTTGCCCCTCCCCCCCTGGAAAGTTAATCGAGTTTTTTGCCCCCCCCCCCTAGAAAGTTTTCTGCGGGGGGCGCCCATGTATGGGTGGGTTGTGGCAGCGTACGCGGATGTTTCGTACCATACACCACGTGAGGGGACTGCTCCTATGCAACCGTTTTGTCCCAGTTACGATGTGACCTAATCACTTAAGTAGAAACAATGTGTAGAAATCCCTTTTAGAGGGCGCTTGACGCCACTTCGGGATGGGATAAGTGTTTTTAAGGGGAAGTTAAAATATATCCATCCCAGCTCCAAGAAAATTCGCCTGCTGGGGCTTCGTTTCGCACCCTGTGCACTAAAATGTCTTCTTCTTCTTCTTCTATATCTTAAGGGCCCACGATCAATTTATTGATCATTTTGGCTCCTATGCATGTAGATGGGATTTGCAATGTTTCTGTTACTGGTGTTGATGAGGAAATCATGCACTAGGGGTTTGAAGGCTTGAGGCAATAGACACAAATGTGTCTAGTGTTGTCGCCTCAACCGTTCCTTTTGAAAGATTGTTCCAGTCCCTGATTGTCTTGGGCAGGAATGAGCAGCTCCTATACTGGCTTCTTGCTGGTATGAGCCTGAATTGCCTGTCATGGCCTCGTCGCTGTCTATGGGGGAGAGGGACGAGTTTTTAAGTTTCATTAAATAATAAACCAAATATTAATTTTCATTAAAAAATAAACCAGAAAAATATTGTTAAATCTATATAAATTCAATAAATTTAGTCCCGCAACACTAGATATTAGTTTAGGATTTCCCCAATTAAACATTTAAACTGTTACGAGCTATCGGTTAATTTAATTTAAATTAATCTTAGTCTGGGCTGAATTCCGCCAACAAATCAGACAAATCCTACACAAAATCATTAAATGATACATTTTTATTATTTGTCATAATATATATTTAAAAAAAAAATTGTTCTATAATCTTGAAGAGCTTAAATTAAATTTTTGTTACTCTACACTGAAATTTCCTTGTTTTTAGAGCTTAAGATCTAAATAACATTTGATATAATTTTATTATTATTGGTAAATCAAATAGTTCCAATCCATATTAATTTAGATGCACCGGAAATTGTTCTTTTCACTTGACGATTAACTGTAGACAGTAGGGATTTAGCTGAAGTCTAAGCCCTAGACTAATTTTTTAAGGTTAACGAATTTACGCTAGCCCTATCAAACTTAAAACGGTTCTTTTTGCTCACATTATGATTTTATAAAATTTAGGGATAAACCAACTTTTGCTCTAATTTAATTCATAACACTAAAACAAATTGACGGAAATGCCTCAAGACAGAGGACATCGTCGAAAACATAGCAGGTAGGTAAATTTTTAAATTATGAAATATCACTTCTTCAAAGACTATTAAAAGTAAGACTTATTGTAATATTCTTAAAAATAACCAAGTATTATAATACTGATGAAATATAAATAGATGGGCCTGGTATAAAATTAAAAAGGTAAAGTTATGGTACACATTGTTCAGGTTAAAATGTAATCCTAGCTACTTCACATGTGAAAAAACAACTGTTAAAGTTTAAGTTACAAATTACCAAAACAAAGGAATACTATAATTACAAAACAGTGTATATGATAATTAATTAGGATTTAATATTATTAATAATTAATGAGTAGGCAGGTAAATTACGAGAACGAATGCCACTATTTTATCGAATTTCACGAATGACGAATGTATCCCTAAATGCCTAAATCTATCCCTATGCCTAACCTGCACCCTAAATCGATCCCTCAACCTAACCTAAACCCTAAATCACTGCAACTATAATAAACACCATAAAGACGCCGTGGCATTCGTCCTCAGATTTAGCTGAGTAGGCATTTTTGATAAAGCAAGGGAGACTATTTCAAAATTTGGGATAGCGGTAAGTAGGCACTTCAATTAAGCCCTGTATTACCCGAAAATTGGGTGTTGTAATTTCGTTGTCAAAATGGCGACCTCACTTTTTAATTTACTGAGGGTATCGTTTTTCTATTAGCCATTGTAGGGATAACAATACTTGTCCACGCACCGTTCTGCACATGTCCTAAAATGTCGAAAAAATGTGTTCTGCTATATGGCGTACAGCTACACGGTATCATTGGAAAATTGCATACTACGTCACCTTTGTTTATTAAATAATTGCTTTCCTCATCACTGGCGTATCAGTTTTTGTGTTCCGGTCATATATTGATTTATGCTACGATATTTTTTGTGCATCACGGGCAGTATTATTATAATGATTCGGTTAGTATAAAAATCGCATAAATACTTTTTTACTTGTAAAGCCACCAAAATAAGGTTTAGTGCTCCCTAATCTACATTCATTGTAAGAGTTTTTTCATTTTTTGAGTTATTATTGTTGAGCTCTCGATAAAAAGTTATGCATCCCACAAAGAAGTGGGGGGTATGAAATTGTCAATATTTTTTTATTTTCACAGAGAAGCCGGAAATGGCTGCTATCACTGTGATTCGTTTATGTTAAAGTTAAATCCTTAAACTTAAACATCTAGATAATTATAAGACGTTTAAAATGAATCATTTTAAGAAAAGATTATAACCAAACTTGAAAATTTTATGTAGTAACCAAGGGTTGGTTTTAAGTTTTATTTATTACGTTAAAAATTGTGTACGGTACCAGTACACAGTTTATCGTTTTTTCATTATTGAATCAATATTTAATATTTTTACAATAGTAATATCGATAATAATAAGCCTTTTTCTCTTATTAATTATTTTAGAGAATATTACTAAAATTAGGCTTACTTATCATTATCAGTTATAATTATAAACAACTGTTATTATAAACTATAATAGTCTATTTAGGCCTAAGCTTAATTTTTCTTAATCTGATTCTATTACAAGTATAAGTTCTATATATAACAGTTTTATTAAAATACATCAAATTAATAAACAAGACTCAAACAACATCATCATAGAAATTATATTTTTATTAGGACATAGAAAAGCAGTACATAGACAATTATTTAATATTTCAAATAACATTTTGTAATGAATTAGTCTCATCATTATCATATTATCATCATGGATGATTTTATTTGAGTAATTTTTATTTATATTTACATGCGTTCAATTTTATAAATAAAAAAGACTACTTACATTTTTATAAATATAATAATTGATTTAAAATTTAACACAAGCATAATAAAATTAGTTAAAATCCAATAAATATGTTGTTGTTTTTTTTGTGTTTTCCTGTATAAATAATGATTTTCCCAATTTTTCTGTTCACTTTTTTCTGAACATACCCACAAATAAATTTATAAAAAAATAAAAGTCTTAATGTTATATAAAAGTTTTGTTGTTTATTGTACTGTATATTGCATTGAGAATGTCTCCTGAACATTTGGTAGTATTATCTTTTAAAATCAAAAAGTTTTGGGTAAAATAAGGCAGAAATTTTGAAAGTGGGTCACACGTTTTTTCAGTTAAATACTAAGATGAAGAAGGGGGTGTTTAAAAGTCACCAAAAAAAAATCATAACTCCACTTCTATAAAAGATAGAAAGATGAAATTGGTGTTGTTGTAAAGCTTATAGCTAGCCCTTTAAAATGATGTATCATTCATGGCAATTGGACAATATTTAAATTTTGTGTCAAAGTACCTAACCATTGGGTTGTTTAATTTAGTCCAGGTAAATATGAAGTTTTTAATTTATTACACTATCATAACTGTATTGTGCTGAAATTAGGGATTACGGCAGTCAATTGCAGTTAAATTTTGAAGATTGAATTTACCTATCACTTGTAACACATGACTTCATTATTCTAAATTAGGTCACTGTCACCAATCCCCAACAAACACAAACGCAGCTGGCAGAATGACATATCTGGTTCTGGGGATGGAGGAAGGCCATTTGGAAGACACAGATCCCCTTCCCCTATGAGACGGGACACAAAACTATTCAAATCACCTTCTAAATTGGGTGGTCATAAAACCTTTCATGCATCATCACCTGGTGGACATAAAAGTCGTTCTCCTCGTAACCAGAAAAGATCTCGGCCCAGGTCTCCTTATTCTGGTCAGTTAGGTTTGAAACATTTGATTATTATGAGCAAGTAAAATGTGTATTCATTTTAGGTATAATTACTATAATTACTATATGATATGGACTTATTGCTGCCGATCCACTTTCAGGCAGAGGTTTATCCCCCTCATTTTCTAGACAACCTCATTTACACCCTAATAGAGATTATAGTAGACCAGTATCCCGACCAAGCCATCTAGAGGAGAGGGAGAGGTCAAGGATAAGGCACGTCCCTCCTTTGAAAGCTGGAGTTGAAAGGTCAGATCTTTCTTTTACATGCATCCAAGAAACCTTAAAAAATATTTTAAATAAATTATTAAAAAGTTAAACCATAAAATTTTAAAGATTGCAGTTAATTTATGTTTTCCTCTGCATGAAATAAATTGAGTTCTTGTATGTAAGTTTATTTTGTACAATGCCTTATTAAGATTTGATATCAGGGTGTTAAATATGGTTCTCACTATATTTGATTAAAATATTTTAAAATCAGTCTTACGTACAGTATTTACTCTTAGTAAATTTGATTTGATTTATTCATGTTAGTTTTGGTTCTGTCAAAGTATTAAGAATTTTTTTTTTGGTAAAAATTTAGCTTCAAACTTGAATCTAAATTCAACAAGAGTACACCTAATACTCACACTGAACTAACCACAAAGAAGAAGCTCAAGCAAAGCCCACCTCCAAAGCGCCCAAGAAGCCGTTCCCCCGCTAATTCTACCCTGAAACGGAGTGAACCCAGCTCACAACCACATCAGAGAGAAACATTGATGTCGGAGCGTAAAGTCAGCTCAGTTAGTAAGAAGAAACAATCAAGAGTGACACTACACAAAAGATTCACACAAGAGGAGCAGGAACCATTTGAATTGGAGGAAAACGTCACAATTGCTATTTTACGTAATCCTAATGCTGAGCCATCTGAGGATGTGACAGTGAAGGTAATTAGGGAATTAAATGAACTGGTTGTATCTTTAAAGGTTTATATTAACTAATATAGGTAAGTCTGTACTAGGGTTTCACAAGCAGGATCAGATTTTTATTATAGAAAAAAACATTCAAAGAACAAGCTTTTAGAATATCGATTTGTTTTATTTTTAAGTTTCATGTTACAAATTGTCGTTAAAGGCCTTGACTTGAGTAGTAGGCGTGACTCTTGTGTTCCAAGTCAAAGATGTTGTCAGAATTTTCATTGTGTCAATATCATATCACCTACAGGACTCCATCTCCGGGTTTGTTATCTGAGTTTGCCTTCTCTTATATGAGTTGCCAACTAACGTTAACGAGTCCCATTCACCCGAGGTGCTGGTGTTGTTTTTGCTTGTCTATGATTTTGATGGGGTTGGACCTCCAGTCCACAAGCTTGGGATTGATTCAGTTTAGACCACTTGGCCACCCAGCCATATGCATCCATCTCTGTGGCGCTACAGCCCATGTAGGACTTTGGCCTGCCTCACTACTTCCTTCCACTCAGACCAAACTAATGCTTTTCTTTTCCATGCTTAGATTCCCAGCTGCTGTAGATCTTTTCCACGTCATCTATCCATATATGCCTAGGTCTGCCTTTGGTCCGTTTTCCTGTGGGGTTTTGGTGATATTCCCTCTTCACTCCTTTGTCATTTAGTTTTCTTTCAAAGTGTCCTTCTCAGGTAGCTTACCCTTTTCTATTTCTGCTACCATCATTGGATCCTGATATAGACTGTACAATTCCTGGTTGGTTCATACTCTCCATCCATATTCAGATCTGCCAACTCTTTCAATTTTGTCGGAATTATACAGATTTTTTACCTCTCATTCCAACCTTCCGATTTTTCAAAATTTATCATTCTTCACCTGTCAATTCGAAAGCAGAAGAAAAAAAAATCGGGTACAACAGGAAGTGTTGCATTTGTTTTTACGAAGTGTCTACATGTCCGGCGACCTGACAAATAAGTGAATAAGTTCTTGATATATTTGTCCGTCTACTATGTATTTGACCAAATCACATGAAGTTGCGCGAGATATTTGTCTTGTAGCCTTGTTATGGGACCGCTAATTGTCTATCAGAGTTCACGGTATTTCATTTCAACAAATTCAAGGTAGTTTTGACATTTACACGAAAAAGAAATATGTTCAATTCTACAAAAGAAATACTAGAACCATTGCTGGTATATATAATGAACAAGTGGTTTAAAAGTGACAATGTTTTTTTTATAAAGCGTGGCATGCCCACTGGATAAATATCTCCAGCAGTATTTGTCTGGTGCCTGAGGTGTAGACACTGCCTTGTTTTTATCAAAGTGAACCGCGATCTCCAAATCATTCTTCAATCATAAAAATTGTTATAGTCATGTATTTTTAAAAAATTTTTATGTTAACTTCCAGCCTCTTCTAAAAAGGATTTTTTATATGTCTTTACTGCTTTCCCCTAACAGTGCTATATCATCAGCATATGCAAGATACTGAAGGGGTTGATTGTAGAGAGTGCCTATAGGTTGTGGTTCTTGGGTTTCCCTCAGAAAGTATCCTGCTATTGTTCCTCGGTGTCAATATGCATGTTTTTTATAACTCTCTTCAGTGTTAGGTTAAATAGCTTTCAAGACAGTGAGCCTCCTTGTCTAATCTGAAATTTCCAGCAATGCTATAGTAGAAATAACCCACCAAACAATGGCAGTGGCAGTTTCCCATCTATTAAAGTTACTGGATAAAACAAGTAACACACTTTATCAAAATGAACCAATTCGTGCTAACTTCTGGGAATTTTAATTTGTGCACCTTTTGAACACAGCGTGTCAGGCATACATACGTACCTAGAGAATTATTAGTTATATATAGAATTAATTTCATCCAGGGAAATCCATGAAGAGTTACTTTTATCCCATTTTTCCGATAGAGCAAAATAGCTGGAAATGAGAAACCCTAGTTCGTACTCATTTAAATTTATTTTATTCAAAAATATATCTGAAATTGATTACATTTGTCTGTATTTATGTCAATATAGTTTGTTTCCATACTATTGAGGAAATAATGAACATATTCACATTCCTTTTATACCTTTTTGTGTTTGGAGGTTGCATTCAAATGGTTTCTTGTTATTTTGTCTAGAAAGTGTTTGATGCATCTCTATTCAAAATGGTTCACAAAAAGGCGGAGGGAAAAAAGCCCATATTTGACAGAGAGGAGATTAAACTCTGGCGTCATGATGAAAATTTATCAGATGAACCAGATTTTGAGCGTCGCCTAGTGAGAGTCAAGTCAACATCGTCTGCTCCAAAACTGGCATCTGAAAGTCTTTCTCGCATGTCCCCGAATGTTATCAGGTAAGTCAATACACACAGATTTAAGCTTTATGCTATGATATTAATTACTTCATTTACACTTGACCTAGAACATGGAGTCGATCATGAATTGTTGAACCAAGTGTCAAGAAATGGTTTGACTCCATGTTAACCCAGGAACTGTGTGGCATAGATCTAATGTAGTGTGGTGGGGGAGCTTTTCAGGGCTTTTTGAGGGCCTTTAGAAATAGCATTCAATGGCATAGAAATATGGAGACAAGACCCCAATAAGTAGATAAGTAGATATTTTTAGAAAGGTAAATGGATGGGGATAAATTTGGCTATATTGCCCACCGGTAAAAAAAAAAAAATTAGTTTGTGTCCTTGAGCTTGGAGTGTCCCCCCAAATTTTTTTTAAAAAATTGACAAAATGTCTAACAGTAGGCCTACTTCAGTATCGCTAAGACTAGTATCAGATTCACGAGAAGAAGAATACGAACTGAGATCGGCATGGGGAGTGTTAAAATCTTCATCAGTATCACTTAAATCCTCTCCTAAAAAGCTTTCAAAAATGTTTCTATTAGTTCTCGCACTGAAGGCCCAGGCATAGCTTCAGCAATTTAAGCTTTAAAAAAAAAAACCAGCAAAATAAAATTCCGATTAAAAAGTACTTATTGTTAAGTCATCAACAAACAGCTAGACCCGGAATATGATTAAATTATTTTAAAAAAAGGAAGTGGCTATAATTCCGGTTAAATATTGGATTGGAAGTTGCTATCAGACCGTGTTTTTTATCGGCCGACCACAGTTTGTGGATTAAAGATGCTGGACTCAAAGTATGCTTTAGTGTACAATGGTAACTTGATGTTTTTATAGACATACATTTTGAATAGCTTTCAAGCTATAAGTCTTGTTTCTTTACAGAAAGGCTTTTGGTCTTCAGATTGGTGTCAGATCTAAGAGTAAATCTCCCCACAGAGATGGTCAGGTTTCTAGGAGTAGGTCACCTCGTAGGGAACCACAGATCAGGTAACTTCTAACTAGGTTTGTCATGAAAGGACACTTCCACCTTGGAACATTGTTTGAGAAATGATAAACAAGAAATTCACAGTTGAACTTGGGCAACAATGATGGAATAAATTAGTTGATAGTTTATGTCCATAAAGGAATCTTATTGCCATTAAGAGTTCTTCATTCACAAAATGTCTTTATCTGGACTTATTGAAATGGAATATTATCTTAACTTAAATACGAAACAATGATGAAGATCACCTACTAAAACATGATGTATGGATAGCTCATACATCTGGTTTTGAAAAATGGATAACACCAGTCCTTGCTGGTCAAAGTGGAAGTCTGTGGACAAGTTCCAGGACTACTGTTGTAGATTTACAAAAGGCTTATTAATTCATCAATAACCAAAATATTGAATCTGGTCAGTGGTGCATTTCCTAAAGGCCCTTACCACTAAAAAGTATGAGAAGCACTATTCTTGACCACGTCATCCTCTAAGACAAGTTACAGGAGTACTTATAATGCAAAGAGATTTTTCACTGTGACATCCTCTAACACTAGAACCATGGTGTGTAACTTAACGTACATAGTCTATCATAGTCAAAATGTATTAAAATACTAAAGCACCCGATATTTAAGAGTTGCTGTTTAGATATCATGAAACATCTGCTTATGTAATATGTTTACATTGAAAAGAAAATCTCATTGGACCAAAGGACTGTAAACATTTAGCTGCCTTTCATTGTCCCCAGTTTCCTGAAATGATTTTACTATTATAGTATTTAGAATATGCAGGCACTTGAAAAAAAAATTTATATTATAAGTTGGAATCTCACATCCAGCATACTTGAAAAACACTTGGGTAAGAGGAAAGTCGTGAGTCTTGACCACAAGGAAAGTCAGGACACTTGGGAAAGTAGTAATCATGACACTTGGGCAAGAGGGAGTCATGACGTTTTGGGAATATGTAAAGTTATGGCAAACAGGCTAGAGGAAAGTCATGATACTTGTGCAAAAGAAAATTCTTGATACTTGGGAGAGATGAAAGTGGTGGCACTTGATCTAAATGCTAAAATAGCATGGACACAGGCACTATGCAAATAATAAATCATCATCTAGAGGAAAGTTTTAGCAAACAGGCAAGTCATGACACTTTGGCAAGAGGAAAGTCATGGCTCTTTGGAAAGAGGAAAGTCATGACATTTGATCAAAAGGAAATTTTTAGCAAACATGCGAAGAGGCAAGTCATGACATTTTGCTCAAAATAAAGTAATGGCTTTTGGGCAAGAGAAAAATCTTTATGCTTGGGCAAGAGGAAATGCATGGCACACAGGCAAGAGGAAAGTCATGGCACTTTGAAAAGTCATGACTCTTGGGCAAGAGGAAAGTCATGGCACTTTGAAAAGTCATGACTCTTGGGCAAGAGGAAAGTCATGGCACTTTGAAAAGTCATGACTCTTGGGCAAGTGGAAAGTCATGGCACTTTGAAAAGTCATGACTCTTGGGCAAGAGGAAAGTCATGGCACTTTGAAAAGTCATGACTCTTGGGCAAGAGGAAAGTCATGGTACTTTGAAAAGTCATGACTCTTGGGCAAGAGGAAAGTCATGGCACTTTGAAAAGTCATGACTCTTGGGCAAGAGGAAAGTCATGGCACTTTGAAAAGTCATGACTCTTGGGCAAGAGGAAAGTCATGGCACTTTGAAAAGTCATGACTCTTGGGCAAGAGGAAAGTCATTGTAAAAAGGTAAAAGGAAAGTGGTGTCATATTTGCAAGAGCATTCATTGTAACACCACACAACATACCATGAAATGGTCATTAACCAATTATTATATAGATTGAATGATCAATCACCATTGGATAACGAAATACCAATGAAGAATTGGAAAATGAAATACCATAATTTATTGGATTGGAAAAAAAAGAACTGTTGAAACAGAAATTGCATGGAGCATTGGAAAATGAAAAACCATAAATATTGGATAATGAATGACTAGTACCATTAAGTTTTGTATGATGTTATACCATGATATGCTGAGACATGAAAATACACCTATATTTAAAAAAAAAACAAGTTTCTTAAGAAACAATTGTCTTATTAAAAAGATAGTTTGTGATTATGTTGGTACACACTGTTGTTACCATCAGTTATATTTGCATATTTTTCCAATAGAAATTTGACTAGTTGACTTAACCCAACTGGTAAACCCAGACTCCACCTATTTAGCTAGAGGAAAAGCCCCATGACCACTTAGCTGTGTACCTAGTATTAACTGCTCTGTGGCATCATCATTCTGTGAGCCACTGATAGAAATCAACTCAAACCAACTAATATACATACACACATTGCCCGTGTGAATTGAACAGATAGTTTGAACAAAGAAATAGAAGGACATCTTTAATGACTACAATGACATACTGCTGAGATCATAGGATTTAGAGCATGCTTGAATCACCACAACATTCTCAGGGATATGACCTTTAGAGAGCATGAATAGAGTTTTGTCAAGGAACATCTGTTAACATAGAATGGAAATCAAGTATCACGGTGATAAGGAAAAGATGCTTTAGCCACAGTGATAGGTAAAAGATACGTTAGTCACAGTTGTAGGGAAAAGATGCTTTAGCCACATTGATAGGGAAAAGATGCTTTAGCCACAGTGATAGGGAAAAGATGCTTTAGCCACAGTGATAGGGAAAAGATACGTTTGTCACAGTTTAAGGCCTCAGTGACCGGGAAAAGATGCTTTAGCCACAGTGATAGGGGAAAGATCCATTAGCCACAGTGATAGGGAAAAGATGCTTTAGCCGCAGTGATAGGGAAAAGATGCTTTAGCCGCAGTGATAGGGAAAAGATATGTTTGTCACAGTGATAGGGAAAAGATGCTTTAGGTAGCCAAATTTAAATTGTTTCATCATTGCAACATCTGCAGGAAATTAAGTAGATGGCCAATTTCAAGACAGATGTTAATAACTTGAAGCTGGCATGGTTTTATGTATACCACAATGGAGTGGAAATAAAATAAAATCAAAGTTTACATGTTTTAGTCGAGTAGATCAAGAAGCCAGATAGAGAAGACAATGCCAGACAAGACCCAATATAAAGAAGATAAGGCCAGGCAATTGAAAAAGTTAGACAAGGAGATCAGAGGCATACTTTGAAGTCTAAGAGGAGAGCCTACTGTACTACTAGAGTTGTGATGATTCCCTTTTGAAATAGGATTGTCATTTCTATTGGTTTATAAATGGCACATGCAAAAAAAGTACATGTCGACTGACTTGTAGAAATAATCTATGACAAATTGGGTAGGTTTTTTTTGGCATCAAAATTGACATTCTATTGGTGTTGGATATTGTTAATTAGATGCTAGGAAGACATTCAGGTTTCTATGGACAGCTGGAAAACAACTCTTGGTGCTATGGATAACAGGAAATGAATTGTTTAATTTACTTTGAATGACAGAAAAGCACTGTACAGGTTGATAAGAACTACACAAAGCATTTAACAGGTTGCTATGGAATAAAGAAAAGAATTAAACCTATTACTATGAACTACAGGAAAGCATAGAGGTTGCTATTTTTTTGCAATGTGACGATGGAGTGGGCTTCGGAGGACGAAATCCACATGGCCTGGGATAATTCCTCAAGGATTATAAGCTGGTTCCCAACAGCAAATCGCCGCTCTCCACGCCGCTGGATAACCCAAAGGAACATCATTGGATGATACAGCTTGGCACCAGTGACGTCGCAGGAGTTGTTGGAATGTTTCATTGTATCAATGTTATCCGCCTTTCGGGACTCCATCTCCGGGTTTGATTTCAGAGTTTCCTTCTCTTAGATGAGTTGCCATCCAAGGCTAACGAGTCCCATTCACCCGAGGTGCTGGTGGTGTCTTTGCTTGACTTGGCTCTGGCTGGAGTTGAACTTGAGATATGCTCAGTTTAGTCCACTTGGCCACCCAGCTCCCAGAGGTTGCTATAGTCTACCTAAAAGCATGATACAGGTTGCTATAGACTCATATAGGAAAGGATTATACATGTTGCTTTGGATAAATGGGAACCATTCTACAGGTTGTTATGAACTATAGATTTTCAATGGACTACAAGAAAGCATCTTACAGGAAATCATTATACATGTCCTATGGACTTCAGACAAGCATCATACAGGTTGCTATGGACTACAGGCAATCATCATACAGGTTGCTATGGACTACAAGGAAGAATCATACAGGTTGCTATAGACTACTTATATGAAATCATACATGTGCTATGGACTACAAGGAAGAATCATACAGGTTGCTATGGACTACAAGGAAGAATAATACAGATTGCTATGGACTACAGGCAAGCATCATACAAGTTGCTATGGACTAATGGAAAACATCATACGTGTTGTTACAGGCTACATGCAGGAAAGCATCATACAGGTTGATATCACTACAAGGAAGTATCATTATCACTACAAGGAAGTATCATACAGGTTACCATGGATGCTTAGGATAAATGGAAAGCAGCACACAGGTTGCTGTGGTCTACAAGAAAGAGTTATATAGGTTTCTATTGACAACAGGAAAGCATTATGCATGTGCTATGGTGTAAAAAATGAGCTGGTCCACTGCTCCAACATCAAACGGAAACTTGTCCCTCTTCCCCCTTGACAGCAACGAGGCAATAACAGGCAGTTCCAGCCCATAACAGCAAGATCACAGTACAATATAGTGACTTGAACAAGCTTCCAAAAGGAATAGTTGAGGCGACAACATTTGACACATTTATATCTATTGCCTCAGGCCTTCCAAACTCCAGTTCCTGATACCATCGCTGAGTAGCCCTTGCAACCAGTGAAATTTCCTCTTCATTTACTAAGCAAACAACATTTTGAATCCTCTCTATATGCATAGGAGCCAGAATGATCAATACATTGATCATGGGCCATTAATATATAGAAAAAGAAGAAAAGTACAAAGAAGAATTATACAGGTTTCTATGGACTACAAGCAAGCATCATACAGGTGGCTATGGACTACAAGAAAGCATTTACAGTTTGCTGTGGACTTAAAAAAGCATCATTCAGGTTTCTAAGGACTACAGGAAAGCATCATACAGGTTGCTATGAACAACAGGAAGGCATCATACAGGTTGCTATGGTCCACATAAAAGTATTAAACAGGTTGCTATGAACAACAGGATGGCATCATACACGTTGCTATGCACTATAAGAGAGTATCCTACAGGCTGCTATGGAACTACCGGAAAGCATTATACAGGTTGCTATAGACAACATACATACGCTACTGGAAAGCATTATACAGGTCGCTCTGGACCTCAGAAAAGCATCATACAGGTTGCTATCGACTTCAAGGAAGCATTTACCCCTTGGTTTGGACTATAAGGAAGCATCATACACATTGCTATAGATGATTTGGGTAATGGAAAGCTTTATACAGGATGCTGAGGACTGTCGGGGTAGCATGATATGGGCTGCTATGAACTATAGGCAAGCATATGTGTTGCCATGAATACAGAAAAGCATACAAGTTGCTGTGGACTACAGGAAAGCATACTGGTTGCTGTGGACTAAAGGAAAGCATACTGGTTGCTGTGGACTACACGAAAGCATACTGATTGCTGTGGACTACAGGAAAGCATACTGGTTGCTGTTGACTACAGGAAAGCATACTGCTTGCTGTGGACTACAGGAAAGGATTCTGGTTGCTGTGGACTCAAGGACAGCATTATATATGATTTACTATGAACACAAGAAAGTATTGTACATGTTACAGTCCAAAAATATGCTTTAAAATAGATTCTAGATATTTGCTAATTCTCCATGAATTTGTTGAACATCGGTGCAATGTCAGTATATAAATTATTTAACACCATGATCTGCTGTAGACATGCCAGGATAAATCTAATCACCATGATCTGCTGTAGACATGCCAGGATAAATCTAATCACCATGATCTGCTGTAGACATGCCAGGATAAATCTAATCACCATGATCTGATGTAGACATGCCAGGATAAATCTAATCACCATGATCTGCTGTAGACATGCCTGGATAAATCTAATCACCATGATCTGCTGTAGACATGCCAGGATAAATCTAATCACCATGATCTGCTGTAGACATGCCAGGATAAATCTAATCACCATGATCTGCTGTAGACATGCCTGGATAAATCTAATCACCATGATCTGCTGTAGACATGCCAGGATAAAACTTAACATCACGAGCTGTGATAGACATGACAGGATAAAACTCAACACCATGATCCATAATAGACATTGGATGCAACAAATTTGTTCTTGCAACTACACAAGAAGAAAGCCTTTAAAGCATTGAGATTACCGGGTAGGGCATTTTGCCAAGTAAGTAACTATTGTTGTGTATTGTTGCTTTTACAGGTACATGTTTTTGTTTGATGGGCTAATTAAAATAGTGAATGCATTTGAAATATTGAACTAAGGCAAGAATAAGTTTAATATGAAATGGTACTTTTCGAGGTACTGCTTTCAAGCTGTCAGAAGTCAATAAATAGGCCGACAAGATATGGTCAGGCTTGGAAAAAATAGAACAATTGAAAGTCATTTGATTCTAATTGTCCTTTCTTTTCAAGCCCCAACAAAGCTGTTTATTTAATTGGTATGGTGAATGATGCCATTATAGAAATGGTTATATTTTAACAGTGATCCAAAAGCTGGACAACAGTAATTAGTTTTGTTAAATGTTGTTTAACCCGTGAAACAAGTTTTTAAAAATGAAGGAAAATGGATGGAAGTGCAATATTAAAAACCGAACAGTAAAAATACATTGCAGATATGTATAATGTGACTTTGATTTGTACAAGATGGAGTTAAAAGCAGATATATATAATGTGACTTTGATTTATACAATATGGAGTTAAAAGATTTTGTATGTTGACTGCCAACCACTTTCTTTCCATTCCCCTTATCTTTGTTTTGTTAGGCACTTGTGTCCATTCTTATTTTTTTCTATTTTTTCAATTTTAGAATTTTAGGTACGTAGCGTATACATATATTATGCAAATTTAATTTTATAATGTTAATGTTTTTCGTTGTAACAACAAAGACATTTGCCAAAACTGCTCTAGCTTCATCACAATCTAACCCTTTTATAATGAGTTAATTTGTTAAGTACACAGTTAAATGCAGTTGTTTAGTTGAACTTTCATTTTGAATTTATTTAGACTGGACCCTAGACCAGATCCACGATATGAGTCAAAGTTCAGAGAGCAGTTGGAGAGGGAGGAAGAAATTGTAAACAGAGGGAAGAGGCAACATGACAAAGTTGTAGGAAGTATGGACAAAAAAGGGATTAAAAATCAGACAAGAGATGGAAAACATGGAAAAAGAAATGATAGAGGAAAAGAAGAGCCATATGATTTGCGCCAAGCACTAGAGAGAAGACGTAGTGACAGGGTGGAGTAAGTGAAGCATTACCATTTTCAATATTTGGTCTAAGAGAAGAGCTGTTATCAATAAAACAAACCTTCTCAAATCATTTGTATAGATCTAATAGAAGTTACACATTCCTTCTCAAATCATTTATCTAGATATAATAGAAGTACACATATAGTCTCAAATCATTTATTTAGATATAATAGAAGTAACACATACCTTCTTAAATCATTTATCTAGATATAATGGAAGTTACACATACCTTCTTAAAATATCTGCTTAAATCATTATTTAAATTAAGTTACACTTACTCTCTTAATTAAATCATTTGTCTAGATCTAAGTGAAGTTACACATGCCTCCTTAAAATATTTTCATTGTCATAGTTGATCTCATAAATTTGTATTCTCGCAGAGGAAGTGGATTTCGAATAGAAGTACAGCGGGGAGAGGGTGATGCTGAGCTCTTCTACAGAGAGGACACACGTGGTCAGGGATCAAGTGTAGAAAACCATCCAAATGTTTCAGACTTGGCTGGAGGACGTAGCGTGGTAATGGATCAAAATAAAGATCAAAGAAGGTTTAGCAGCATAGACAGGGATCAACAGAGGTTCGGCAGTGCAGACAGAGACTCCAGGGGCAGCTGGGAAAATGACAGGAGAACCGTGAGAGGACGGGGCCGTGGTAATGGAAGGATTAGGGGGAGGTAAGAATAAATAAATTGAAAATTATAAAAATATGAAAGAATTAGTATACAATCTAAAAGACAACAGAAAGAAAAACACAAGAAAGAAACCAGTAGTCAGCAACATGAACTTATTGTGATGATAAGAGAACAACAAAAGAACAGTGGTCAGCAAGAACCACAATCCAACTGATTACATGAAATGTAAAACTATTATGAATGGTGAGAACTAGATTTAGTAGGGTGAATTTTGGTATGAAAAGTTGTTTATCATGAGAGGGTTTTGTGAGTTGTAGATGGTGAGGTCAGATCATGGGGTTCAATTGTGGGGTTAGATCGGGGTGTCAACTTAGTGTATGCTGAGTGTTTGTTGTGGAGATAGTCAGATAGTAGTTAAACAATAGAGAGAGGAATTAGACTGAGAGAGAACGGTCATGAACTCAGACGGGGTTGTCATCTGAGAGCTCAATGATCATCAAATTGTTGTTATCTGTTCCTTGGATCTGTGTACTATGATACCACTTTGTGTAGCATGATACCATTTTGTGTATCATGTTATTATTTGTACTGTTCATAATGAATAAGGAAATCAGACAGTGCATCAGTTGTTCAAATAATTAAGAGATCATATGTGGTAGAGAAACCCTTTGAGAAATTGAACCAATGAAGTGCCTGTCAGAATACAGGAGGAGATCCTAACATTGGACACCTGAGCAGAAGAATGACAGATGCTGAAAATAAATTTGCCTTTTCTAGAATTAAAATGCTTGGCAGTAGTTTGGTTTATAATTTACATACAAAAGTATCTGTTGGGTACAACATTCACTGTATTGCTTGCTTAAAAACCACTGCTAAATTTTAACAAAAATCAAATCACCAATGATTGGTGACATATTTGCTTTAATTGTGCCTGACCCTAAATATGAAATGAAATCATTTTAATGGGTAGATAACCATTTAACAGATATTCTATCAAGAATAATTGATAACAAGTAGTTCAAAAGATAGCTTGACACATTATTTTACTTCAAACAGATTACGCTGGAAACACAACATAAAAGATAGTTTTTATAAACATACTAAATGATGGTTATTGAATAAATTTTGTTCTGTCTAGATGTTTAGTAACAATTTTTTTGAAAAATTTACTTGAGACACTTTAGAGATATAATTCCCTGAAACAATGTTTTGCAATTTAAGTATTTTTATCTCATTTTACACCACCGCCCTTTCCCATGTGAAACCATGCGTGTCTGGGGAGAGAGAGGAAGGTGGTGAAATATTTTTAAAGACTGTAAAAGAACACAGCCACGTTGTAATGATGATGATGATAGTCAAATTTTGTGCTTTGTGTTTTCACAATGAACTTGCCAGATGCCGCAACATAAATTGGACACCTGTAGTAAACATTCCCTTTTGTGTCCTTCTGTGCTGTAGGATGTAGTTTTGTAGCTTTACTATTTCATTCAGTTGAACTGCTGCAATTGGTGAAGGTGAAAGCAAAGAAAAATAGGGATCAACTGCGCCTTACAGCAACATTAGATTTGGAATTATTTTATAAAATCTAGGAAGCAGCATTGGAAATGTCTTTTTATTAGCACCCGGTTTGGTTCCCCCACTCTTTGAATTTCATTCTCATAATACAGCTTGCAGTAGTTGTTGGCCTATCATTTAATGTGGCAACAGAATAATGGGGGTTAAAATGAGGCTCCAAGCCTTATTGAAAGAGGACAACCTGCTGCACGCTTCGTTAAATATTGTGGCCCACCTTTTGTATGACAAATAAACTCATTGCTTTATTCAATTGGGGATTTTTTTCCTTTTTGGCATAAATGAACATTTGAAATGTAGATACATAACATTATTTTTTTTCCCACAGTATGCACTATTTGGGTGCACCCTATTTATTTACAATAAAGTACTGTATATAAATATATAAACATCAGTCATCTACTTAGGGAATTGACCTTTTTTTAGACATGCAATTCATTAGCTATTATATTGTTGTTTTTTTTTAATTTTTATTTATTTACAATTAAGATTCAATATTTTACTATTTTTAGGTGATGCATTACTATTCTGAAGTGATATTTTAATATTTTTGGAGTTCCTGGGTAAACAGGTCTGTTGTCAATAAAATATTTTTTGTTGTAGGAGACGACCTTGGAGCCCGGACATAGGGCTGGATGGTGGCAAAAGACAAGATGACTCAAGGGATGTAAGGGATAAAATCTTAGAGCGGAGACATAGATACAGTATGAGTCCAAACAACAATCGAGGTTTGTCTTGTTCCACTCTTTTCATAGACTATTAATCAATTACTGCCTTAACTACTTGGAATGAAAACATGCTCTCCTGCCTAAGCATTACATAACTCTGTGTAAAATAATTTTTTATTCAATATAAAAATGAATGAAATTTTATAATCACACCGGCTATCTTGAGAATAATCTTTGAATTAAAACTTCTGAAGCTGACTCAGATCATGTCCACAAGTTAACAGGCAGTCGCCATGGTCTACATCTGGTACTATTATCTACACATGTTATAGTGTTGATTTTTAAAGTCAGTTTTACAAACCTGTTTACCCTCAAACTCTTAAAATTGTACAATAATCATGGGGGCTTAAACTAGTGATTAATTTTGTCCTGGAAAACTTGGAGACTGATTTATCAACCCTCCTGGTGGAAAATTATGTTTATACATTTGCTCATTATTTGTGTTCTGAATATGGCCAATGCATATATAATATAATGAATGCAAAAAAAGTCCAATTTCATTACACACACACCCCCCTCGCCCCATACACACATTTTTTAACCCACACTCTTTTTGGACAACCCTCTCTGCATATGTACAAGGGAGGTTTCACATCGTCCCCTTCAAGATAAAAAATATTATTTGTTGTAGACTACTATTGCCCAAGACAATTAAAGTAAGTTAAATTAAACCATTAAATATTTTTGCCCCATAGGGATATAAATTGTAATAGGGGGAGGGGAAAGGAGAGAGAGAAATTTAGTCTCTGTGATATAAGAGATGTATTAAATTTTAAGAGTCAGGATATTTTTTGTTAAAGTTAACAATAACTACTGTTATTATTTGTTGTGTATGGCAATAAAAATATGTTTAACCTATTCTAAGTTCTTCAGGTTTTTCTTAAGTATTTAGTTTCTAGTTCCTCAAGTGAGGCTTAGGCCAAAACATCAGATGAACGTTTTATTGGGAGGGTGGGGGGGATGTTCTCTAACTGGTTCAGCTGAACTAAATAATTACCACATGTAACACAATCCACTTATAATGCGAACCCTTAAATGTTTGTTTTTTAAAATGCTGTTAAATGCCATGTCCACATGTAACACCATTCGTTAATCTTGTCAATAACAATACAATAGGATTTAAGGAAATACATCATTATTTTTTCAAAGTTAATTAAATTATTAAAATATTATTTCCATATTTGTTATATAAGTGAATTTTCCTTCAAAGGGATTGCTACTTACATGATGTTATGCACAGGTACATTGCATACACGGTCACCAAATGGGAGTTTGCCAAGATATGATTGCATATGCATTAAAATTACTTGGCAATATACAGTATGTCACAAATTACATCACACCTATAGAAACATAAAGAGGACTACAGTTGTCACTTGGCTAAAAATTACTTTTTCGAAATCTAGCGATATATTTGTGAAAACTGAAAGAAACAGTATGACATGATTACGAAACATTGCAGTGATATTAAAATGAAGCCTTTAAAAACACATTTTTTGGGGACCTTTGACCTTATTAGAGATATAAATTGGCTATTTAATGAAGTTTCAGAATTGTGCATAAATGTATGTTTACTTACACATACTGCCTAGCCCCCACCCCCCTAATATGCCTTAAAAACAAAATCTCATATATCGATATGTTTGTGAATTTTTATAAATATATGTGAATGCGTTAATAAATTTGGTATGTATTTAAATAGCTTCAATTTAATTTTGTTTAAGGATGGCGGGGATACAGAGGTCGTGGCAGAGGTCGTGGAAGAGACTTCATTTTGTATGATCAAGACATTTCTTCTCCTACTGAAATTGATGGTACATTTTCACATTATAACCAAATACCACAACATTAGCTCAAACAAAAAGAACAAAGTTTTATAAACTAGTTAACCTATAATTTCCATTTGTCAGCTGTTAGTGTCAACAATGATGAATTTGCTGCAGAAAGTGATAATGGAATTAAAAGGGATGTTTCAGACCTGTTTACTCTTACCATTTTGGCATACAGTACAGTGGATGATTTTGAGTTGCATTTTAGGTTTGTATGCCAAGACCTGACAGAACTGCAATTTTCAGAGACCAGATGGAACTTATATCCATTCTGGTAGTTTTTACAATTTTAAAAAAATACACTTTCAGATGTTAATTTTTATTTGCACTCTACATCCAGTAGTAAATGGATAGAGAAATACAAGTGTTTGGGGACCATCTATAATGACAACAGTTGTACTGAGAATGAAATGGATGGTGGTTAGGAGATTTTGGTTGGAAGGGGGGGGTTCTAAATATTTAAGTCTATAAAATTAACACCACCACATTTTGGTAATGATAGTGGTGCTGGTATTATTGTTGCTTTGAGCTTTCATAATAAATTCGCTAGACACAAAAGTAATATTGGCGTCAAAATTTAATCTTAAGTACCTGGTAGGTTTTTTTTTAAATGATGCCCTAATTTGTTATTTAATTCTTATTTCAATACATTTTATTTGATGCTGATCTGTCTTTGAGTTTGAACCATGTTAAATATCACCATAAACTTTATTTTCTTACCAGTGACAGACTGTGAACAATGTGTTCTGCATGTTCACCTAATTTTAATTGATCTCTATGGCTTATAGCAGATACACATCTGCAAAACAAAGTGATCGTAGATTGCAATATAAACATCAGTCACCTACTTTTAGAAGATACCTGTTTTGATCCCAGCTTAACTTGGCCCCACTAGACATGCTTGCCAGTAGATATTGCATACATTATACTCTATGTTTATTTATTTACTGTTAAGATACTTGTACTTATTGTTCAATTTTGAGACAATGGTGTACGATTTTAGGAGTTTGAGGGTAAACCCGTCTGTGTTCTTATGCATTCCTTCAAGATTTGAACCCTGATTGTAACCAAAGAAATACAGTTTAAAACCGGGTTTCTCTAATAAAAAAGAAACCCCAAAAATACTTGAACATCCCTCTACTGTGTATAACACAACTGTCTTTAATACATTGTATCAACCAATTAACCATCATAATGGTCAATCATAGGCCATTGTGGCTGCTTGTATGCCGTTAACCCTGACATCATCAGCTACTAAAATGTGTATCGCAAGTTGTATGTTTTTTCTTTAAGGTGGGTAACTGGTAAACCGGTTTAACTTCCTTTCTAATGAAACACACTGCATACATTTCATACAATTTTTATTTTTAAATATTGACTTGAGATTAAATTTTCTGTTTTTTCTTTTGTTGTTTTTGTTAACAATCTTGTAAGGCCCTTTGGATTATACTATTTCTTTATGAAAATGAATTTGAAAATACTTTTGTTGGAGCTAGTAGTGAAATAATGATAGCAGAGCTGGCAGTTCAAGTTCTAGGAGTGAAAGTTGTGGTGAAAAGACTATCCTGGTCAGTTGGTTGGAGTACCAATGAATTTAATAAGAATTAAACGTCAAGAAATATCAAGTTGAAAGCTGAATTATAATTTTTTTAAACTGAAAGAATATTGTTTTCTTTGTCTGGAAAACATTATTATGATAAAAAAATCAGGGTAGGTGTCAGCTGAATGCAGAAAAATGGTAGCACTCACTGTTTAAAGGTCAATATCATATTAATTTTACAAAGCTCACAGAATACCTCAATTCATAGCAAATGATTCCTTATCAAAGTTACTCTCAGAAGATGTATATTCAGATGAATCTCTGGATTAATTTTCTGTAAATTTTGGTATTTCAGTGATATTTATCAAATGTACTTTAAAAAAATGCCTTGATAGCCACAGTAAAGGTACACTTGATGCTTTGTGTATTCAGACTATCTGTGTTACCGGTACTCATACTGTACATTGTATAATGGCTTATGTAATTTATACATTTTAAACTGTCATCTTTTATTAACGTATTGTATAGTGGCATCTGACAATTTAGTATGTCCTTGCAACTAACCCTTTTAAGTGCAGTTTATATTTATGAAAAAAATAATTTACTTTTGATTGTCCAGAGTATTTTTTCACTGCCAGTAATTTTGTTTCCAAAGCTAATCCATGCTTCACTCAAATTGTCTTTTTTTCTTTTTTGTTTCAGATTCATTTAAATACACACAGGTAAGGAGGAACAACGCTGTAAGTTTATTTCATTCCAATATTTTATCAGATGGGGGGCTGACATGCCTTCCTTTTCTTTGGTTGTTTTCATGATACCATTTGGCTGCTGGTGCTAGCATAACTCATCTTAAATAAAGACACTCATTGACTTTAGTGGTACATGACAGATACATCTAAAAACACAGGCAGTGACTTCAGTGATAGGTGGCTGATACAAGTAAAAACACAGGCAATGACTTCATGATAGATGACTGATACAACTGAAATCACGGGGAGTGACTTTAGTGAAAGATTAGAAATAAATGGGAAAAACTTCGGTAACAATAGTATTGACAATTTATTGATCAGGATAAACACTGAATTGATATAATGGTCCATTCCATAATATGATCAAACTTTTAGTCAGTAGACTGGTAAACTTGACATCATAAAGGCTGAAATCTAACAGGAATGAATGAAATTATTTTCAGCATGATGATCGTGATGTCTCACCCAAAGTATTCCGCAGTCGAGGTGGTCGTGGCAGGTTCCCCATGAGAAGTTTTGGTAGCAGCAACTTTCGAGCTAATAGCCGTGGATTTAGGGGTGGAGGTGTTAGCAGCGGAAGAGGCTTCAGAGGTGGCTACAGGGGAGGATATAATTCTATGGCGGACAGGAGTATGTGCCCATATTAAACAATAACTTTAACCTCTTTGCAACCTGACCTGTTAGGAGTAAATGTGCTAATTGAATCTGTCCAATTAAATTGCATCGCTGTAAATGAACATGACAGGAGCAAAAGCCTGTTTCTATTTGACCTAAATTAGATGAATCTGTTGATGTCTTTTAGTACGGTATTGCCAGCTATAAATCCAGATCTGATGTCAGTATACTACTACTAGTACTGTAGTACTAGGAGCTGATAGTAACTTAACTAAGTCATAATAAGGAATCTTATTTTTTAGATTTCAAATATTGAAATTAATCAAGTATTGAAAGTCAACTGTCTTATTGTGTTATTTTTAAAAGGGTTTACAAAAAATTCATTTTTTTAATATTCTGAAGATCAAACATCAAGGAAATAGAAATAGGTAAATAAGTCAAATTTAATGTCATTTCCAAAATGTTTGACCTTTTATCTATGATAATTGCCAATTTATAACACACAAGTTCTGTGTGCTATTTAATGTGATTGTAATGCTGTGAATCGCCAGCCAAGAATGATGTGTTTGCAGTACATGATGCTAACTCCATACAGGAAAAGCTGCACCCTAGCTAGTATAACATTAATCTCCTGCAGCCCTCACACCCTACGACAATCCCTTAACTATACCTCCCCACGACTCATCCCAAGTAAAAGCGGGCCGAATAATAATATTATATTGAATATGACAATAAAATAATATATATATATATATATTTAAATATAATATATGTACATATAAAGAGCTTAAATATACTGCTCAAGTAATAAAAGGGTTCTAATATTATTTTTTTAAACAACCTGTACTTCAGTGATAAATAATTTGTTAACTTTCACTAATCAGTCCAAACACAAAAAATGCTGTTCTGACACCCTGATGTTAAATTCTGCACTTGGATGGCAGTGATCAAATCAGGCTTGGTAGTGGTCAAAGTTAGATTTGGTAGTCCGCCTATGACCTGTGATGCACCCTCCTTGCCCTACCTCATTTTCTGTTTCGGTTTAATCCTGAAGTGTCAAAGTGTCCTCTTTTTATAGCCATTTTCATTGTTTCTATAGAATAGTAGTTACTATCCTAGTGTCTCATTTGTATTTACTTAGTTTACATGTTTTAACAATTGTAAAGCGCTTAGAGCTTTATGATAAGGGCTATATAAAAATGCCTAAATAAATAAATAAATAAATTTGGTAGTGGTCAAAGTTAGATTTGGTAGTGGTCATTGTTAGATTTAGTAGTGGTCAAAGTTAGATTTGGTAGTGGTCAAAGTTATATTTGGTAGTGGTCAAAGTTAGATTTGGTAGTGGTCATTGTTAGATTTGGTAGTGGTCATAGTTAGATTTGGTAGTGGTCATCATTAGATTTGGTAGTGGTCATAGTTAAATTTGGTTGTGGTCATCGTTAGATTTGGTAGTGGTCAAAGTTAGATTTGGTAGTGGTCATTGTTAGATTTGGTAGTGGTTAAAGTTAGATTTGGTAGTGGTCATTGTTAGATTTGGTAGTGGTCATAGTTAGATTTGGTAATAGTCATAGTGGTCACTGCTTTTTTCTAAGGCTATTTCTTTGAACTGGGTATGACTAAAAAAGGACATAGAATAAGCCAATGATAATTTTTAGAGGAACTAGGTCAAATGATAGTCGGTAAAAAAATCATGGAGAAATAAAAGTATGTGCTGCATATTTTATTCCGTATTTTAATTACTTCCTATCAAAAATGACACTCCTCACATATACAACAACAAAAAAGAGCTGCCAGGGATTGTGGATAGAGACCAGGGATGGTTTAAAAATATTAACAAATATTATTACCCCACCCCCCACCCCCCCACAGGATCCCTGCCCCTCTTATCTTCACACAGCCCTGAGACCACGTTTGTTGCATATCTTGCTAACTTTGCTTTGGCTGTATAATGTATAAGATGCTAACTTTTTCAGGATCCCTGGAGAGAAGAAATACCAGCTTGGATCGGGAGTGGAAGCATGATATGTACGACAGTTTGATAGCAGAAGATGACCAGTCTCACAGGACAGCTGTGATCAGTTGAGGACATACACATTGTGGAATGCTTGATTTTTCTTGTCATAGATAAGTTTTCATCATGTGTTAGTTAATGTGGTTGAATATGACAATGCAATAATTCTCTGTGTTTGTTGTGTTGCTGCTGCTGCTATGGAGTCAAAGATTTCTCAGTAATTCCTTGTCTCTCTCTCTCAAACAATGGGAAATATGAAAGCAGTTATCCTGGTATTTTTAAAAAAAAATCTTTTCTTCAAACTTCATTCTGGACTGGATCTAAAATCAGTAGTGTCTATAGGACATCAGTGTAGAGTGGCCATTGTATTTATAAGTACTCTGTAGTGCAACAATCAGCTTGCTGGAACAATCGGCTTGCAGTCAAAGACAATTTAAGTGAAAAGTTTTCATTGTCATTCAATAAAATGTTTATGAAATTAAAAGAGCATACGACTAATTACTAATCATTATACATAATTAATGTTGAAATGTCTGATAATAGTAATATTTATTGAAACATGAGTACCATGAATATTAACTGTAATTTTACTTAATAAAAATGAGGGATGTTTTGATAATAATAAGGTTAGTCCTTTGAGTTCATGATGATCCATAGATCACAATAAAATATTTGGACACCCTCAATTGTACTGTGATAATTTTGGTAGGATTTAGTAAAAAAAAAAAAATTAAATGGAATATAAAGGCTTTCTTGATGTGAGAATTTTTAAGGTCTAGTGATTCCATGTTCCAATGTTTTTCCATATTTATGTTCATATTTGAGAATTGTTTATCCCTGTACTTTAAGTTGGTTATTAATAGGATCTTTTTCTTGTTTTTATATAAAAATAAAAGAAGTTCAATTATTGCTTTTGACAGTCCTAATTGTAATATGTCGCTGTCCAATTGTTGAAATAAATATATTCAATAAATTGCTAAATATGTTGTTATATTATACCAACTTGTGTCATGAAATAGTTTTCTTCTACCATACTCTCCTCTTTTTAGCATCCTCTCTCCTAGCATTCCCATCCCACAGGCATCTAATCTAAAACCAAACTCTCCTCCTAGTATCTTCTATCCTATCACCTGCTCCATCTAGTATCCACTATTCTACCACCTTCTCCAGGCATCCCCTATCCTACCACCCTCATCCTAGCATCACATATCTTATGACCCTCTCCTCCGAGCATCCCCTCTCCTTTAGCATACTCTCATACCACCCTCTCCTCTATAGCATCCCCTCCTAATAATATCCTCTCTCTTTTCTTGTTTCCTACCACCCTCTTCACCTAGCATTCCCTACCCTACTAACCTCTTCTAGTATCCACTATCCTAACAACCTCTTCTCATAGCATACCTTCTCCTATCTGTCCTTCTCAGACCCTCTTAGCATCTTTTCTCCTATTTGACCCCCTAGAATCCTTTCTCCAATCATATCCTCCCCTCTCTGACCCCATCCTCCTAGAATCCAATCTCCTACCATACTCCACTAGAATTTCCTCTCCTCCATCCTCTTCACCTTCTAACCTCTCATTTAAGCATCCTCTCTCATCTAGTATCCCCTAAACTCTCCTCACATTCCCTTTCCTAGAATAGCAGACAACACTCCTACAATCCTAGCATCTTCTCTCCTACCACCCTCTCCTTCTAGCATTCCCTTACTAAAAGCATCCCATCTCCTACCACCCTCCATTCTTAGCATCTTCTCTCTACCACGTTCTATTCTTAAAATCCTCTCCCCCACCACACTCCACTTCTAGCATCCTCTCTTTTACCACCCACTCTCCTTTAAGTATATGTAACTACCCTCATCTGCCAGCATACTCTCTTGTATCAACCTCCACTCCTAGCATCTTCTCTCTACCACTCCTAGCACCCACTTCTAAAACCATCTATACCCCACTAGCAACCCATCACAGCAACCCCTCCGTTGAAGGAAATGGCCATAGCCTTCAGCCTTGGTTAAGTGAAGTGTTGAAGGACGGAAAAGCAGGATGAGAGAGCTAATCTGAGAGTGGGATGGGAGAGCCAATCTGAGGTAGGGGCATAGGGAGGGAGGGAAGAGAGAGAGCTAATCTGAGGTTGGGAGGGATGAAAGAGCTGATCTGAGGTAGAGCTTGGGTAGGGAGGGATGAGAGAGCTAATCTGAGGTAAGCTCCTTGGGTAGGGTTGATGAGAGAGATAATCTGAGGTAGGGCCGTTGGGAGGGAGGGATGAGAGATTTAAACTGAAGTAGAGCCTTGGGTTGGGAGGTATGAGAGAGCTAATCTTAGGTAGGGGCCTTGGGTAAGGAGGGATGAGAGAGCAAATCTGAGATAGGGAGTTGCGTAGAGAGGGATGAGAGAGCTAATCTGAGGTTGGGACGTTTGGAAGGAGAGATGAGAGAGCCAATCTGAGGTAGGGGCCTTGGGTTGGGAGAAAAAAGAGAGAGACAATCTGAGGTTGTGAGGGATGAGAGAGATAATCTGATGTAGGGGCATTGGGTAGGGAGGGATGAGAGAGCGAATCTGAGGTTTGGGCCTTGGGTAGGGAGGGATGAAAGAGCTAATCTGAGGTAGGGACCTTGGGTATGGAGTGATGAGAGAGCCAAACTGAGGTTGGGAGGGATGAGAGAGCTAATCTAAGGTAAGCGCCTTGGGTAGGGAGGGATGAGGGAGCTAATCTGAGATAAGGTTGTTGGGAGGGAGGGATGAGGGAGCTAATCTGAGGTTTGGGGCCTTGGGTAGGAAGGGATGACAGATTTAAACTGAATTAGGGGCATTGGGTGGGAGGTATGAGAGATTTAATCTGATGTAGGGGCCTTGGGGAGGAAGGGATGAGAGAGCTAATCTGAGGTACGGACGTTTGGAGGGAGGGATTAGTGAGCAAATCTGAGGTTGGTGCGTTGGGTTGGGAGGTATCAGAGAGCTAATCTGAGGTAAGGACATTGGGTAGGGAGGAATGGGATAGCTAATCTGAGGAAGGGACGTTGGGAGGGAGGGATTAGAAAGTAAATCTGAGGTTGGGAGGGATGAGAGAGCCAATCTGAGATATGGAGTTGCGTAGGGAGGGATGAGAGAGCTAATCTGAGGTAGGGTCGTTGGGTTGTGGGGGATGAGACAGTTAATCTGAGGTATGGACGTTGAGTAGAGAGTGATGAGAGAGCTAATCTGAAGTAGGGACGTTGGCAGGGAGGGATAGGAGAGCCAATCTGAGGTTTAAGCCTTGGGTAGGGAGGGATGAAAGATCTAATTTGAGGTTGATGCCTTGGGTAGGGAAGTAAGAGAGAGCTTTTCTGGGGTACGGACATTGGGACGGAGGGATGAGAGAGCTAATCTGAGGTAGGGACGTTGGCAGGATGGGATGAGAGAGCCAATCTGAGGTAGGGACTTTGGGTGGGGAGGGACAAGAGAGTAAATCTGAGGTAGGGACTTTAGGAGGGAGGGATGAGACTCCTAATCTGAGGTTTGGAGGGAGAAGAGAGCAAATCTGAGATTTGGAAGGATGAGAGAGCTAATCTGAGTTAGGGGTCTTGGGTAGGGAGGGATGAGAGAGCTAATCTGAGGTACGGACCTTGGGTAGGTAGGGGTGAGAGAGTCAATCTGAGGTTAGGAGGGATGAGAGAGCTAATCTGAGGTAAGCGCCTTGGGTAGGGAGGGATGAGAGAGCTAATCTGAGTTAGGGACGTTGGGAGGGAGGGATTAGAGAGCCAATCTGAGGTAGGGGACTTGGGTAGGGAGGGATGAGAGATTTAAACTGAAGTAGGGGCTTTGGGTTGTGAGGTATGAGAGAGCTAATCTGAGGTAGGGACGTTGAGTATAGAGTGATGTGAGAGGTAATCTGAGGTAGGGACGTTTGCAGGGAGGGATGAGAGAGCTAATCTGAAGTAGGGACGTATGGTAGGGAGGGATGAGACAGCTAATTATAGGTAGGGACGTTGCGTAGGGATGGATGAGAGAGCCAATCTGTGATAGGGACGTTGCGTAGAGAGGTATGATATAGCCAATCTGAGGTAAGGACGTTGGCTAGGGAGGAATGAGAAAGCCAATCTTAGGTTTCTAGGGATTAGAGAGCTAATCTGAGGTAGGGACGTTGGGAGCGAGGGTTGAGAGAGCCCATCTGAGGTTTGGAGAGATGAGGGAGCTAATCTGTGGTAGGGGCCTTGGGTGGGAGGGATGAGAGGGTCAATTTGAGGTAGGGGCTTTGGAAAGAGGGATAAGAGAGCTAATCTGAGGCAGTGGCCTTGGGTAGAGAATGATGAGACAGCTAATCTGAGGTAGGGGCAATGGATAAGGAGGGATGAGAGAGCTAATCTGAGGTAGGGGCTGTTGGGAATGAGTGATGAGAGAGCAATTATAAGGTAAGGCCTTTGTGAGGGATGGATGAGACAGCTAATCTGAGGTAGGGCCCTTAGGAGTGAGGGATGAGAGGGCTATTCTGAGGTAGGGCCTTTGAGAGGGAGGAAAGAGAGAGATATTCTGAGGTAGGGGCGTGTGTGCTAGAGGGATTAGACAGCTAATCAGAGGTAGGGCCGTTGGTTTCGGAGCGAAGAGACAGCTATTCTGAGGTTTGGAGGAATGAGAGAGCTAATCTGAGGTAAGGACATTAGGTAGGGATGAAAGGGAGAGCTAATCTGAGGTAGGGTCTTGGGTAGGGAGGGATGAGAGAGCTAATCTGATGTATGGGCCTTGGGGAGGGAGGGATGAGAGAGCAAATCTGAGGTATGGAAGTTCGGAGGGAGGGATTAGTGAGCAAATCTGAGGTTTGTGCCTTGGGTTGGGAGGTAGGAGAGAGCTAATCTGAGGTAACGACATGGGGTAGGGAGGGGTGAGGTAGCTAAACTGGGGTAGGGAAGTTTGGAGGGAGGGATAAGAGAGCAAAGTTGAGGTTGGGAGTGATGAGAGAGCTAATCTGAGGTGGGGGCCTTGGGTTGGGAGAAAAAAGAGAGAGACAATCTGAGTTTGGCAGTGATGAGAGAGCTAATCTGAGGTAGGGAAATTGGTTAGGGAGGGATGAGAGAGCTAATCTGAGTATAAGCTCATTGGGTAGGGTTGATGAGAGAGCTAATCTGAGGTAGGGCCGTTGGGAGGGAGGTTGAGAGAGCTAAACTGAGGTAGGGACCTTGGGTAAGGAGAGATGAGAGAGCCAATCTGAGATATGGAGTTGCGTAAGGAGGTTTGAGAGAGCTAATCTGAGGTAATGACATTAGGTAGGGATGAATGAGAGAGCTAATATGAGGTAGGGGTCATGGGTAGGGAGGGATGAGAGAGCTAATCTGAAGTAGGGCCTTGTTAGGGAGTAATGAGAGAGGCAATCTGAGGTTGGGAAGGATGAGAGAGCTAATCTGATATAGGGGCATTGGGTAGGGAGGGATGAGAGAGCTAATTTGAGATAGGGACCTTGGGTAGGGAGGGAATAGAGAGCCAATCTGAGGTTGAGAGGGATGAGAAAGCTATTCTGAGGTAAGCGCCTTAGGTAGGGAGGGATGAGAGAGCTAATCTGAGGTAGTGACGTTAGGTAGGGAGGGATGAGTGAGCTAATCTGAGGTCGGGACGTTGTGTAGGGAGGGATGAGACAGCTAATCATAGGTAGGGACGTTGGGTAGGGAGGGATTAGAGAGCCAATCTGAGATAGGGACGTGGGGTAAGTAGGGATGAGCGAGCTAATCTGAGGTAAGTGTCAACTCCTAACGTCTTCTTGGATTGATTACATTCGTGAGATCTTTTCACACGTTGAAGCGTCGTACTATTCTCACTATCATTGATCAAACTCAACTCCTTTTCATAATTTACTATAACTTTGATATCTGAGTAAATATAATACACATAGACGTGAATATATCGCACCTCGCTATCAGACCTAAATAACACACATCCTATCACTCCAAAGTTCCACTCCAGACTGCCGTACGACTAAACATACGTCACGATACTGCATAGACACTACGTCACGAATCAG